TTATGAGAAATGGAGGGCATTTTTCCAGGGAAAAGTAACACCTTGTTTCTGGAGGTGCTTGAAAGTTAACATTGGACTGAATGTGCAATATTCTTTTTTTTTTCTAATTCCAATAAGCAGTACCAAAAGATCAATGAACTTTGATCTTGAACACTAAGATTATTGCCTATGATCATGTTATGCAATTCCTTCTACTGGGAAAAATAAGCAAGGTCAGGACAGGCATGTATTTAGCAAAAGGAATTGCCAGCTGAAGTTCCTGAATGATTAGCTAACTATTTCCAGCAAAGTGAACTTGCTGTAGTATGTTTTGTGGTAACTGCTGCCCTAGAAAATTAGGAGAAGGAGGCTGAGTCAGGTGGCTTATTGCCAAAGCCTTCTTAAAAGTGTTTACTGCCTTCTTGGATTTCAAGTTCACGGTTCATTGAGTACACTGTTTACAGATTCCTTCAAATTGATGCATAATCAAAGGCCAATATCTGTTCTATGATATGAAAAATATTGCCTACAAAGGGATTTCAAATATTTTGTACTTTAGCCAAGGCTATCTTTTTTGTGGCAAATATGTATGAGCTATCAGATTTAGTGTAGTCATAGGATACAAAGTGTGTGTGTGTGTGTGTGTGTGTGTGTGTGTGTGTGTGTACACACACATACATACATACATACATACATACATACATACATACATACATCTTAAACATTGTTTAATAGTCATTTGGAGTTGAAGTGCAACCCAAAAATTATCTGGAACTACATCAGTGTTATACTGCTGTGCCTCAGGATTCAATGAACCTTTTTATTTTGAAACAAAAAGATAAAATATAATAACACACACAGATCTCCCACAAAAAGAGAATCTTAACTTTTGGGTATAAGAAAGTATGCTCCATTTTCAACCACAAATGACACGTTGTCTGCTATTGGTTGAGCTGACTAAAGCTGATGAGTCATAAGGCACAAAACTCTGGAGGCATAAAATTATACTAACTTAGCTCAAAAGTAGAAGGAACTGATTAGTTGTGTAATCGTTATCTTAAGATATAAATCATTAGGCAACAGCTGTGTTGTAACACTGGTACGTAATTAATTATTATTAATGTGAGTCCAGTAGTGCAAAAAGTTACAGCAGAGTCCAAAAGGACTACCACAAGAAAACACTTAGGATAAAGATTCTAAATGCAAGCATATCAAAATACTTATAAATCATCTTCCAGAATAGATTTAATGATGCATTGGTGATTTACTAGTTTGTTCAATATATCGAACTAAATTATTTGCATAGTTCCCATTATGCAGCCTATTTCACATCTCCGTGCAGCTATTCTTGTCTGTATCACTTTGAAAATATGTATTTGTGAAATCTGGCCTCCATCATAATTTCAAATCAATTTTCTGCTCACTTTTTTTTAGTCTATTATCTGCCACATCTGTCACAAAACAGATAGTCTTTGAACTATAGATTTCTTCTTGTAGTTTAATCTTTGAAATTTGTGTTGGTGGCAGGCTATTTATTGATAAGCTGGATAGAAATTCAAGAAAAATAAATCCTGTCATGTTTGCTAAAATGACCACCTGGGTTATTTACTGCCTGTATAAGGAGGATCTCACTTCCAAGAATTTAAAGTTTTTAGTGTATCCATTAATTAATTTTTTTCTCCCCTGTGCTACCTGTTCCTTCCACATCCCCCATCACAGGTTGATAGGATTCCCTTTGAACTACAAAAGAAGGGTCTGTCTTTAAATAAGGATTTCTCATTTCCTCAGTGTTATATTAACATATTTATTTCCATTGTTAACTAGTGCAAGTTTCCTATGCAAAATTTGTGACATTTGGGCAATATAAGCACGCCTACTTACCTCTAAACATGTGTATTGGAATAGTCAAGGGTACCCACAGGGCCTAATGAAAAAAATAAAGATGGCACCAGATGGCATTTTGACAGGGCAATCAGAATCCTGGTAGTTTTTCATGTTCATCGCACAAGTGTGCCCATGCATTTAAAAACAGGAGGAACTTTGATCATAACATCATAGTCACCATCTTAACTTTCTTTGCCACACTCTGCAGATTTCCTGGCAAATAATAATTTTAAGGCTTAAAATAAAGACCACACCATTACTAGCCATGATTCATAACAAGATTCATATCTCATAAGATCTTCTCATTTGTACTGCTTATATACATTTAAGTATTGTGGCATGATTTTTTTTCCTGGATTCTGGTTATGTTTGTATAGGACAGTTCCCCTAACAATCAGGCATTAGAAGGCCAGGGATACTGCTGCTGTGGTCAGTGACCTGGTTCACGGAGAAAAAGAATGATGTCTTAGAAAGGCTCATAGGGGAAATTGGCAACCAGCTTAGATAGAAATACAAATCAAATAACTTAGATTGCTCAAGATGGTCTGCTCCAAAGATGATAATTGTGAAGCCATTAGTCACCAATCCCAACAAAAACCCAAGAATGGAGACAAAAGAATAAACAGCTTAAATCAAGGGTCAAATAGTTTATAAATGACCAGTCATTCATATTTTTTTTAAAAAGATGTAGCAAGAAAGCCATGGATAGTGTTGCAAAGTCTGTTTGAACATGAATGTTTAAACAGCAAGCCGTACCTCTTCTGTGAGTAATTTAAATGAGGGTCAAGAAAAAACAGGAAAGGCATGAGAGTTTGAATTCTTTGAATGGTATATGATCTAACCCTAACCCTTTGGAAAAGACCAGAGACGGATCTGACATTAAAATATATCAAAAGCTGATCAAGAGCAGGGATGGGAGAATATCAATAGGAGGATTTTGTGCCAGAATCAACTCCCATCTTCTTTCATCCCAGAACGTTGGCTGCAGGTAAGGATTCAGTCTCTTAACTGCAACTCGTCTGTGATGCATTTGAAACCACAGTAAAAATGGTCCAAATACTGGGCTATTTTGGAAAAGACAAAGCAGTGATAGCCAAACTAATAGCAAATCAACTAGAAAGTTCCCAATAATCAATAGAGATAGTTCGGCCCATCTATAAATTGGCATGGTGACCAGATCAGACAATGCATAGCTAGTATTGTGCAGAAGAAACTAACAGCTGCTACTGATATTTCACTTCAGCTATTATTTAAAAAGTTGTAAATTAACATTTCCTATAATTCTTTCAGAAGCAGTATTATCCGAAATATCCTCCTTTATTTCTGTACAGCAGTTTTATTATCCAAGAATCAGGATTTTTTTTTATCATTTACTATAAAGGTAGAAAAAGGATTTGGTATTGATGTTCACATTCCTTTGTAAAATAGACACTGATTAACTTGCAAGCAATTCCAGAATATGCATTTGGGATATTAATTCTGCAGTAGTATCCTGTCATCATAGGGTTTTTTAAATTTTCATTTGCTAACTTGCAGCTGTTCATGAATTCAACCATGTGTTGAGGGATTTCTTCTGTGCATTCAGCGTAGATCTGTATAATTTTATATTCCTTTCACTTTAAGCAGTATAAGGATATTATTGGAATTATGGTAAAGCCTAATTTGATTAGGAATTAGGCTTCAAAGAGATTTGATCCTCATTGGAAAGGCTACCAATATGACTGATTTCTCAGATGATTGATTTTTTTTCTCAGTATATTTTCAAGGGCAGAATCCATGGGAAATCTAACCTTCCCAGCAAAATATATGGAATTGTTCTCAGGCTGATAGCAGCACATTGCATTTTAATGCATATAACTTTTTCTGTGTAGTATAACAAAAGTTGGCCTGCAGACTCCACTCATTGGTTCAGCATGATGCTGTTGTAATGTGATTGAATCGCTTTTAGCTCATGAGATGTCCAAATCCACACAAAGAAAGACTTAATGATAGAATCCATAGTGAATGCGGCCATGTATTAAGTTTAACTATGGATGAGTATAAATTTTATTTATTGATTTATTAGGTGTAAATCCTACCTTTGATTCAGAAGCTTGAGACCACATGTATAGCATCCTAGAATTTGACTTTCCTTGAGTTTCATCCATTCCTTAATGACTGCATCACATGAAAACAAGGAAATAAAATCAATTTACCAATTATGGAAAATTAAATCAATAAAACATTTTTCTCCAAATCACACTTTTTGTAAATGTGGGGTGTTAGATCAGGAGGTACAAAAGGCTTCAGTAAACAACAGCTCTTTATTGCGAGTCAAGTAAACATCTGGCTGGAGAATGGTCAGGCAGCATCCCCTTTTAAAAAGATCTGTCAGACCTCTTGACCAATGAGATTCAACCTCTGTACCCGCTGGAACAAAGGACCTTGGTGGAAACCTCTTTCAGTCTGTCAGGAGGGAAAAAATATCTAATATGGGGGATGTGCTGAAAGACTTGTTAAGTTTTTGACATAACAAGCTGTGTTATTGGTGGCAGTTAAATTCTAGTTCAACCAGCACAGTTTACAAGGTGACTTTGTACTCTCACCCTAATGTGCCACCCAGGATTCCTGCTGTGAGGGAAAATAGGAGGAAAGGGCGTTACACAGTCTCATAATTTATGTCAAATAGACATAAAGAAGCAGTGTGAAATGAAAGAACTTGCTTAAATATCTCAAGTGAGATAAAATAGTTGGTTTCCTTTTTATTGATGCAAGGAAACTATGTGATTTATGTGAGAATGCAGATAAAATAAATATAGCTCCTTTAAAAATGTAATTAAATATTTAAGTGTATTTTTGACCTCAAAAAGCTCTTGAAAACCATGTTGTTACACTACTACTCATAAAGAATAAATGTAACTGAAAAGTTCTGTGTAATAATTGTTAATAATCAGCCATTTCTATAAATTTCAAAATGACAAACGGGCAAAATATGCAGACAGTTGCAAATGAAGTAACAGGGAGTCAACTCATGTTGCTGACCATTATAATGTATATTCTCATGAAAATAGGTTAACATTAGGTTGCATTAGGTGTGAAAAGCTTGATTAACCTTTATTGAAATGTTCACACAATATTTTCTTCACATTTCTTTCTAGGTGAAAATGAAATTCTTGAAACTTTATACAGTATTGCCAGCAAGAATAAAATCTGGAGATCTTATATTGGCATGGGTTATTACAACTGCTCGGTCCCTCCAGCCATTGCAAGGAATTTGTTAGAGAACGCTGGATGGTAATGTACCATTTTTATAGTTAGACACAGACACAGACACACTGCATTTTCCAAGTCAACATGCTGGAGAACGTTTGAACGCCAAAGTTCTAATTTATAGTAGTTCAATTAAAACTATCTTTATATTTGCTATTTTCCTAGCTATAATGTAAAATCAGAAGTTACATGCAATCCTTTTAATGCATTGATTCATTTATATTAAAAAATATACATTGTATAAGAATCTTGCTATTGCCTCTCAGAGTATTTCTGTGTGAATGGCAGTGTTGGAAGTGCCCATAGCACATAAAGAGCTTTTCCTTAGTATGTGCAGAGTATAAAAATTACAAATACTGAGATATAAAAATGCTTGATGTACCTCTTCCTCTGGAGTCTTGTGTGAGGGCTAGACATCACTAAGACTGCAATGAAATGTAGAGTGCAGGCAGTGCTTGACTTACAACAGTTCATTTAGTAACCATTCAAATTTACAATGGCACTGAAAAAAGTGATTTATGACCATTTTCACACTTATAACCATTGCAGCTTCCCCATGGTCATGTGATCAAAATTCAGATGCTTGCCAACCAGAGTTGGGTTGCTGCTGGTTTGGCCCAGATCGGGTGACCCGGTAGTAGTGGCGGCGGGAGACTCCGCCCACCCACCCGGACACTTCTGTGCATGCACATGGGAATGCGCCCAAACAGGTAGTAAAAAAAATTGGCAACCCACCACTGTTGCCAACTGACCCATATTAATGGCACTTGCAGTGTCCTGGGATTGTGTGATTAGCCTTTTGCACCTTCTGACAAACAAAGACAATGGGGAAACCAGATTCACTTAACAATTGTGTTACTAACTTAACAACTGCAGTGATTCACTTAGCAACCATGGCAAGCAATGTTGTAAAATAGGGCAAAACTCAATAACTGTCTCACTTAATAACTGTCTCACTTAGCAACATAAATTTTGGGCTCAATTATAGACGTAACTCAAGGACTATCTGTGCATTCCCAAACCAGAAGGGTGATCTGCCTGTGCCCTACCTGTAATCTGCCTGGGAAGAAAGCCTGTTGGCATATGTTCTGTAGTTCTTTCCAGCCCAAAAAAAGCAGCCATCACAGTTACTGAGGAAGCTCACCCCACCTCTTGTCTCCCTCTCTCCTTCTTGAAAACAAGGCGCCATTTCCCTGGTGGATTCAAGGAATGGTTTTGCCCCTCGGCCACATTTTTTTTCTTGCTGCAAAACAAAAGCAGCAAGGCCTGTAAAGGGGGTGGGGGCAGACTGGAATGTCAGTGTTTGCATGCTCCAATTAGTCAGCTGGCAGGAACTGTGGCAATATTGAGCTTCTTGGGAGAAGGTGCAAATGTGATTCTGAAAGTTTGGTATATAAAAACATTGACAGTGTGGAAGTTCCTGTACAATGCTATTAAGTGACAAAGGTGCCTTTGTGCCCAGTTCGGGAGCTCATGGACGATTTCAGAGAAACAAAGGTACAGCTCTTCCACGCAATCATCCTCCTTTTTGCCCAGGATAATAGGGAGAGAGAGGAACTGTCAGCCAGTTAGAGATTTTTATCAGCTTTTGATGAATGATTCCTTTATTTCAATTGTACAGATCTGATTGTAAAGGTCATGGTGTTAAGAAAGCTAAGCTTATTTTTTTTTTTGAGAAAATATACAGAAGAGTTACATCAGATTTGTAGGCACATTCTGTTCTCCGTTATTAGCTTTATTCTGGTAATTGCTTCTCAAATTGGGATTACTTCAAATATTAGGATCTACAAAGCATTTTTAATTTTCATTAGGATTGGCCCTGAGGTCAGATGCCTGTACAATTTTTGAAACAAGTTAATTCAGCTTTTTTTTTACTAAAGGTGTTTGTTGGCACATCATAGGTCAGTGATGGCGAACCCATCACTCCCCCCCCCCAGAGGCCCTTAGAGCCTGAAAACATCCTCCCAGAGCCTCCGCACGAGCCTTGCACTTACCTGGCATTGCGTGGAGACTCCTGGGAAGATAAGGGCAGTGTGGACACACCAGCTGAATATCGGCTGGCAAGCACACGCCAGCACGTTGGAGTGAGCTAGGGCAACGGCTTGTGTGCCATAGGTTCACTATCATGGACATAGGTTATATATTCATAGTAAAAAGCAAGAAGTTACAACAGTTGGCACCCTAAGTCACAAAATAGGCCCACCAGTCTCTCTGCCAGCTTGAATGCATACAAGAGAATGAATCTGACCTATTTCTTACAAGGTACTCCCATTTTAAGACAATCGTCTCATTTTAAATCTTTGCCTTTACCTGTACTGGAGGCCCAGTTAACACAAGCAGTAGTACTTTTGGTGTATGTCCTGTTTTGATTGTTGATCAATGAAATTCACATAAAACTCAGCAGAGCAAAAGAATTATAGGTAACAGAGAATAAAGGACAGCCATTGGCTGTTCATGGTGTTGTTTTTCTTAATGAGAATAGATTTCCTCTCATAATACCACATTATTACAGATGTGTTGATTAAAAAAAATGAAAGGTTATATGTGTTCTTTAAGTTATTCCGAGCTGTTGTTTTTATTTATATACAGTGAAAAGCACAGGAAAAGCTTATTCTACAAACAAAAATAGCTTGGCTCAATAACCTACAATCAATTGTTAATGGCATAATGTTATGGGGCTGTGTTAGACTGAGCAACCTAGTTGTGCCTGGGTTTCTGAATGACTTCAGACTGTGTTGCCCTAGAAACTGAGTTAATTTAGTAAGTGATGTGACATGAACATAAATGAATGGGCAGAGAATTGAAAATATGCTTGGCTTCTTGAGGGACTCCAGTCTCAGTCTAGACTTAACCCTAAAAATCCAGTTTATCCTCAGTCTTTATTGCTTGTGCAGTATTTATTTTTCATGTGCTATATTTAATTTACTTACACTGCATAATTTTTTTTATTAGTTCTGCAATAAACAATAGTGGTCTGTGCAGTAGTAATATTTCATGGGAAATTTGTTAAGACATAGTTTCACATATTTAAATTGAGATGTCATTATGAGGGTTAACTTTTACTCTCAGATCTTGGATAGTTAGTTTAAGTCCTTCTTAACTAAGGCAGTGAAGAGATTCAGGTTCCAAGAGAAACATGTGAGTTGATCTATATACTTCCTATGACGAATACCTTAAATCAGCAGGGTCCTTCACAGCTGATGTACTATCTCATGTGGTTTACAGTGTTCCTAACAGATACAGTACTACACACAACCGTATTGCCTACTGTGTTTTATGCACAGTGCTTCTCTATAATACTTTCCATGTTTTTTTAATGTAATATGCTTTAACATGAAACCACTATAATCTCAGTGACAATAAAGATGCTGAATTAGTACTCCAGTAGTACCCAAATATAACCAATGCCATCTGTGTTTTGTGTGTATATGTGCTTTCAAGGGAAATAAAAAATAAAAAGACTTGAATAAATAAATAAATCAGGATCTTTTACTTCTCTTCTACTGTTGTAGTAAGGGATAGTAAATCAATCAATAGTAATCTAAGCTATAATATATTGGTTTTTCATATGCAAAATTAATATCTTTAATTTTATGTATCTTTCTTCCTTAGGGCCTTTAATTTATCCTCACAATAATAATCCTGTGTTCTTGGGCTAATAGAGAATGCTTGGCCCTTAAATTCAGAGGGTGTCTTCCGTTTAGGAACATAATTATTAGAATTAAACTTCATGCGTAACTTCTGTTGGCATTTCTTTGACATTATATTTGTAACAACTAGTTTTGTCAAGTGATGTTAATTTTGCTTAACGTTCACTTTGCTTGTCAGAAAATTGCAAAGTGGGATCGTATGACTTTGCAACTTTCTGACAAGCAAAGTCAACAGGAAAATTAGATTCACTTAACAACTAAGTTACTAACTTGGTAACTGCAGTCCGTCACTTAACAACAGTGGCAAGAAAAGATGTAATATGGGGCAAAACTCACTCACAAGATTATCTGTAAGGTTCTGTAGTATTCTTTGAGTGGGGAAAAGCTTAATGGGGAAAATGTGTTGTTTTTAATAGGGTGACTCAGTATACCCCTTATCAGCCAGAAGTCTCCCAGGGCAGGCTGGAGAGCTTGTTGAACTACCAGACGATGGTGTGTGATCTCACCAGGATGGATGTGGCTAATGCCTCCTTGCTGGATGAAGGAACAGCAGCAGCAGAAGCCATGCAGTTGTGTCACAGGTAACAACCTCAGATTCATAAGACTGCTTTTGGAGGATGTAAAGTTCCTCAGAACTTTAGTGTTGAGGGGGCAAGACTGTCCACAAGGCACAATGTTGTCAAAACACAAAAGTCAAGATGCACATAAAAACAGTCCCAGCATCATTTAGCATCTTGAGTTTTTCCTCACAACCTGCAGACACCCTCAAATATTTTATTATATGGAAGAGACTGCAAACAGCCCATAGGCCTATATATTCTAAATCAGGTATGTCCATCCTTGTCCACCTTAAGATCCGTGACTTCAACTCCCATGCATTCCCCATGCTGGGAAACACCCATTACATTTATGTAATCAACTCAGAATTCATAACAAAATCATGACTTACTTCGTACTCATTTCCCTTTTGTGGACTTTGGTAGATTGTGGACTTGTTATCTTTTCCAAAGTTCCTGGGAATAGAAACTTGAATTTTAGATCAGGAGATGTCAAAGCCAATTAAAAACAAGGTTTTTGTCTGTATAATAACAAGCAGTTGAAACCTACCAGTTTAGAGTGAACTTTTTATGACCCATTCTGAAGTAATTTTATTGTTTTCTCCTTCCAACAGGCATAATAAGCGAAATAAGTTTTATGTCGACATCAGATGCCATCCTCAGACGATAGCTGTGGTGCAGACCAGAGCAAAGTAAAGATTGATTTACATCTTTTAAAAAAATTAAATGAGCAATCTGTTTGAAATTCTTTTGTAATGTAGTCTGCCTTAATAAAATTGACTATTGCTTTACTTGAAACAATTTCTATTGAAGGCGATCAAGCTGACCTTTAACTCTGCATTTAATATTCTTGCTTAAGTTTCTTTTTTCTTTTTTAAAAAATCATATTCACTACTCGGAAATGACTTTGTCTTAGTATGTCATTATTGCTTTCCAGATACACTGGCATAAATGTAGAGTTGAAGCTACCTCATGAAATGGATTTCAGCGGTAAAGATGTCAGCGGTGTCTTGTTCCAGTACCCAGACACTGAGGGGAAGGTAGAAGACTTTACAAGCTTGGTTGATCAAGCCCATCAGAACGGGGTAATTGAAGCAATAAGAATATTTCCAACTTCCATGGTTATGTCTGGTAGTGTACATGTCCTTTAGGTCAATGTCAGCTTTTCCAATCTAGTAAGTTATTGGATTCATAGCATTTCTGTACCCCCACAAAACTCCCAATCTCCATTTGATCACAATAGAGGCAGGAGTGAGTTGCTGCTGGCATTACTGCCGGTTCAGCGTGCAGCGTGGGTACGCTTCAAGGTGCTAGTCGTCACCTATAAAGCCCTCCATGGTATTGGACCTGGGTACTTGAGAGACCGCCTACTGCCAATTACCTCCAATAAACAAATTAGATCCCACAGACTAGGCCTCCTCCGAATTCCATCAGCCGGCCAGTGTCGACTGGCACCTCCCCGGAGCAGAGCCTCCTCTGTGGCTGCTCCGACCCTCTGGACCGAGCTCCCCGTGGAGATTCGTCCCCTCCCCACCCTCA